AGGTTGTAAGGTAACACAGTTTGTGTATCGCAGCAGAAAATCTTAGTAAGATAAGAAAGTTCAATACCTGCAGTTGCTGAACTGGTTTTGTTGTTTTCCACTCAGGGCTTTTTTCGGCGGACCGTGAGGATGAAACTGGAATATGAGCGCTGTGAGCGTTCCTGCAAGATTCAGAAGAAGAATCGTAACAAGTGCCAATATTGTCGCTTCCAGAAGTGCCTGTCTTTGGGAATGTCCCACGATGGTAAGTAAGGAAATGTGTCAGAAAAACAAAACCAGGTATCAGAACTGATTTGTTTTGGAAATGTCCACTCAAAGTCAGACCAGCATGTGAATGTGTGTGTGTTTGCTCAGCGATCCGATATGGACGTATGCCTGAGGCGGAGAGGAAGAAGCTGGTTGCAGGCCTGCTTGCAGAGGAACTGAACCTTGGCAAACCAGGTGGCTCGGACCTGAAGACCTTGGCCAAACAAGTCAACACAGCCTACTTGAAAAACCTCAGTATGACCAAGAAGAGGGCCCGCAGTATCTTGACAGGCAAAACCAGCAGCACCGCAGTACGTTATCTTATTCAGATATATACTACATGAACCTCAGTAATGGCAAAATATTCCTCTAAGCTTTTCTCTTTCGAATTCTTTTTTCTTTCTTTGGTTTTTGTCACTTTAATGGAATATGTTGTTACATGTGTTGTGAGGGACCTGTGGCTTTAACCTCTCTGACTCTTAACAGTTGCTTGAAAAGTTATCTGTTTGGAATGAAAACATGATGAGTCAGTCAGACTTATTCTAAGTAAAAACATTGCCAGGAAATATGCGAGAGAACCACTAAGTGTCTGTTTTTATGTGCTTATTCCATTGTTGTAATTTATGCAAATCTTCCATAAATGTCAAATCAGGTGTATTCTAGTTCTGTGTCTTTGCATTTACATAAGATTGTTCAAAAGTTGTTTGTGCCCTTTTCGTAGCCTTTTGTGATCTACGATGTGGACACACTCTGGAAAGCAGAGAGTGGTTTGGTATGGAGCCAGTTACTTCACGGTGCACCTCTGACCAAGGAGATCGGGGTTCACGTATTCTACCGCTGCCAGTGCACGACGGTGGAGACTGTGCGCGAGCTCACCGAGTTTGCCAAGTGCATTCCAGGGTTTGTGGACCTCTTTCTTAATGACCAGGTGAGTCACCGTGTCCTCGGTTAGCCGTACAACTCGACTATATTTGTGTGTCTCTTTAGAGGAAGCACTGACAGACAACTGTGTGCTTTGTGCAGGTGACTCTGCTGAAGTATGGAGTGCACGAGGCTATTTTTGCCATGTTGCCGTCTCTCATGAACAAAGATGGACTGTTGGTGGCCAATGGCAAAGGCTTCGTGACAAGGGAGTTCCTGCGCAGCTTAAGAAAGCCCTTCAGTGAGATCATGGAGCCCAAGTTTGAGTTTGCCGTCAAGTTCAATGCCCTGGAGCTGGATGACAGCGACCTGGCCCTGTTTGTTGCTGCCATTATTCTCTGTGGAGGTGAGACTGAAGGGTCTTCTGGTAAACAATGAAGCTTTTACTTTTTGTGTTGTTCAGTGTGCTTCAAAACACTGTAGTTTTCCCTCAAAAGTTAGAAAGTGTGACAAAGTCTTAAATCTTCCATAGTTATTTAGTAGTTTCGGCAGTAATGTTAAATGTGGACTGTCAGGTGACTTTAACTCTTTAAAAAACTGGGATTGTTTCAACAGGGTTTTTACATAGGATCTGTGGAAAACAGCGTCACTGCCGATAGCTATCATAGTCAGGAATATATGTCTCTTAATGGCCCAGTGTTTGCTTTAGTTGAGACATGAATGTAAATAAATGAATATTTTCACTGGTTAATCCATTCATCGTTTTTATTTTTATACGACTTAGGCTGAGTCCAGGTTGCATGCATAAAATTCTTTATATCACTAGGGATTTTCTGTTCCTAGCAAGTACAGAAAATCTGATACAATAATAAATAATTCAAAGCTTTATTGTCCCTATTAGTTTTCAATCATAGTTTTGTGCTTGCAAGTAGGTGACACAAGTATTAAATTCCATTTTGACCATCTTAAAGGTCTTACTTTAGGGCTGCTACCAAGTGCTTCTGTTTTTATATCAATTAATCGAGCAACTCTTTCACCAATATTTTCCTACAATAAGTCAAAGTGATCATTTAATTTTATTCATGAGTTCTTTTACTTTATAGGTGTAGTTAAAATCTTCATGGACAAAAGATAATAATAATAAAAATCCTCTCCCTACTAATTAATACATAAAACACTTTTGATGGTTTTGATTTTCTGGTGGTGCATCTGTGAGATTGAACGCCTGTGTTTTCTCTTCAGGTGCTGCTGTGATATGCAATGGAAACTTTTCAGAGTGTACAAACCACCTTTTTTGTTTTGTAACAGTTTAAAACTTTACACTTGCGCTCTGCTGCAGCTGTAGATGTCTAAAACTGGAGCGCTGAGGGCTGCTTGACCCCCAAAAAATCTGACATCATAATGCAGCAATTAACATAGGCACAAAAAAAAAAAAAACATGTTAAAATGAATCTAAAAACCACATGTTGGTTTTTTAAAATATTGCGGTCAATGCTTGTGCTGACTAATTGCGGCAGCTCTGTCTTGCTTGGTTGCTCAGAATAAATCGTGGCTCCTAAGCTGTCTCTCGGTGCCTTCTTGTCCTCCCAGATCGTCCCGGGTTAATGAACGTGAAGCAGGTGGAGCAGAGTCAGGACAGCATCCTCCAGGCCCTGGACCTCCACCTCCAAGCAAACCACTCTGACTCCGTCTACCTCTTCCCCAAGCTGCTTCAGAAGATGGCCGACCTCCGTCAGCTGGTTACTGAGAACGCTCAGCTTGTCCAAAAGATCAAAAAGACTGAGTCGGAGACCTCCCTTCACCCTCTACTACAGGAGATCTACAAAGACATGTATTAGTATTCTCCGGCACAAACTGCTTTTAGCAATACTGTTACAGACTGAAGTTACATTTCTAACAATACACTGCATTCAGTTCAAGCACTGTTCCACGTATGGGCATGGATTTTAACGTGCAGATGAGGCAAACTCACCTGGTAGGGCTAACACAATCAGCAAAGTTTTCACAATGTCAGCATTACCATCAGCACAGTAGTGAGTGTATGTGTGTGTGTGCGAGTGGTGAGCATCTGGAATCATTTGCTGCAGGTCCTAGTTTCCCACGACGGTCACTTAACAGAAAGAACGATGTGTTTTCTCACTGAGGCTGCTCCTGTTTCATCCTAATAGCAAAGCTGACCCCAGAGCAGTGTCGAGAGAGAGAGAGCCTCTCCTCCTCGGCTCTGTGTTTTGCTGTAGAAGGGAAAGCATTTCACGTTCTTACACCAATGGCATAGTTGAAATAGAAGTAAGACATCAGTTTATACCTTGCAAGAGTGATTGTAATTGTTCTCAGACTTTTAGCGAAGCTGAAGATGCACAAATTGGTATTTGTTTACATCATTATCATCATCATCATCTATGACCGCCACTTTGCCATTTGGTTTAAAGAACACAAACTGGGCTGGCTCCAGCAGTGTAGAGCTCATCAATGCAACTGTCTGTGCAATACCATTTCCATTTGTCAATAAATGTGAGATCCAAGTTTTGTCTTAAAGCCATCTACCCAAGCGGTTACTGTTGGACTGTGCTGCACAGATTTTGTTTCTGAAGCTGACACTATAAACACGTGACCTGTTCAAGTACAAGGGACAGCATGTTTATTATTTTCTTTCTTTGTGTTCACATGCAAAATACAATGAACTTGCCATTTAAAGGTTTTTAGCTTATTCTTTGTAATTATGTTACTAATTATTTGTAATTGTTGATCATATTTGTAAGGGCAAAACATGAATTATCTTGTTTCATGTATTAAGTATATGTGTTTTTTCATATTACGTGGCTGCCTGTTTAGCTTAGGTTGTACCAAATATCTCATCAAGCGTACCAACAAAACCATTCCTTGATGAGGAGTCTGGATTGCATGGATCAGCGGGATTTACCTTAAACCAGCATACCGAACCATGATATTGGTCCTGGGAAATTTGATGACAATTGAAATGGCAGCATCCAGCATCTAGTATCATATGTCGTTTTTGTATTCAAGATATACACAGTCCTAGATTACTACTCTTTTTTTTTTTTTTTTTTTTTTTTGTGTATGGTCTGATTTGTCTTGTTAGGAGGGGCACAAAGTGTAACAGCCTTATAATACTGTAGCCACAATCAATGCGTTTCCAATGTTTCTTTTCCCATATTCTGTGTCTTCTGTTTTCACTGTACGTACTCTGAATGGACTTCACTATGTCAGCGCTGGTGCACACAGTCCACCTTTCCGAAGCTTCTTCTTGTGCTCTTACCTGTCTTGATCCCTATCTACCTCTAATGTACGATCTGTGACATTTTTCCGCTGTCTCACCTGATCCCTGACATTTATTTTTTTGCCTTAATTCCTGCTATTGGTACACATTTGCAAATTGATATTATTGGCTGATGTGTGGTGTGCCAAGCTAGCAAAGGGTGCGGATGGATGGGTAAAATTACACCAAAAGAAAAAAAAAAGATTGATGTAAACTACCTCTATGCCTGTGTAAGTGATGGGTTGACATATTTGTTCACGAACACAATGTCAAGACTTGAAATAATTTCCTCCTTATGGTCACATGTAACCTATCTGCAGATCTAGTTTAGTGATATCTCACTTATAAACTTGATTAGAAATATTAACACTGATTTTTCTCCATTTTTTAAAAAAAGCATGAAGCTGACTCATGAAAGTGCAGTTTATCTGCTGTTTTTAAAGCTGCTGTTATTAACTAATTCAATTGAACTGAACCTGGAGGACGTGACGTGCTTACGTCATGCGTCACGTTTCTATTGGTCCGTTGCGACGTTAATTGGTAAGAGGAACCGGCTGTCAACTATTTAGAGCCGGTGATGGAGGGATCTCGGCGGCCTGCTCAAAACACACGGAGGATGGAGCCGACTCGCTATGGAGGTATCTGCAGGTAGGTGTTTGTGTGTAAATCTTCAACTGTAAAAAAAGACCGAAAACCGGAGAGAACAAAGCTTAAAACACAAAAACAAACTACGGTGGTTAAACTTGCTGCCGAGCGACGTTCCAAGACGAACGTTATGGCGAAAAAAAAAAGTGTTTTTTTGCTTTAAAAAGTTGCCGAAAATATATTGAACGGGGCGTTTTCGATTGATGTTTGACCGGTAGTTGGGGTGGGCAGTGTTGGCGTTTAAGAGCTATGTGGTTTCAAAAGTATGTATGTGTCGGTAATGTCGAAATATTAGCCAAAACTTGTTAGTGTCTGTTGCTAACTTGAACTTGGTTAACGGCAACACACGTTTGGTGTTTTGACTGAGGAGCTGCTGGCTGTGTAGGTGAAGATTTAGCTGTTGCGCCTCAGTTTGCCATCAAAACCACCCAATAAGCCTTAAATTATTTATACCGATTTGCCAAAAAATTGATTTTAAAGTCATTTTTCTTTTTAAGTTTGACAGTTTATGGCTATATGTGGCATTAGCAAGTGACTAAAGACGGTTTTACATTGTGTTTATGTTTGACATGGTTCGGATGAGTAACTGGACATCACAGTAGAAGATATTCAGCTTGATATTGTTTAAAAAAGCTGTTTAATTAACTGTACTGAATATAGTGTTGGTTTTCAAACAGGCTGGATTACTGGGGAGCCCTTGGGTTTTTTAGCCCCTACAGCAGTTCCTCTGGTAGTCAAAACTTAAACATAAATCAAAAATATTTTCACTTGACTTGGGCTCATGTCTGTTTTTTCTTTTTCTTTTTTGTTTTCTTGGTTAAAATCCAAACACAGCTTTAAAACCATCAATTGTTAGGCAGGCAGCCTCCAACTTTGTTTGCTAACCCTACACATAAATGGTCCTTTCCTACAAATCTTTAAAAGAAATGCTTCACTGCTGTGCTGTTTCAGTAGTTACACAAGTTATTTTTTACTTTGAACATGGTTAAAAGACTTGTGACAAACATGCTTCAAAACAAGAAGAAAATGTGCAATGCAAAAAAACAAACTTGAAGCAATAAAGTCAGACTTCAAAAAAAAATAAAGCGAGAAAATGCTCATCAGTTTCTACTCAGCTTGGGCTGTAAGTCAAAGTAGTAAGACTCGAGCAAGGATGAATGAATGACTGCCCTTTATTGTCAGTATACAGTGTACAACGAGATTAGAGACATCTAGTCAGTTTGGCAGCATGTGCAGGAGTTGGCCTGTTTTTATAGACTTGTTTGCAAATGGTGAAATCTGAAAATCTATTTTGAAACAAACTAGCAAGTGGTAAAGTGAGGGTGAAGTGGGAGCTGACAAGAACCAGCTCCCAAAAGTAAAAATTTTCTCCTGTTTTTATTACAGACGTTTCCTAAATGGCTCTTGTCGATTTGGTCTGAGGTGTAATTATCGACACGAGTTGCCAGCTGTACCATCATCCCAGATATGTAAGCACTTTCAGAAAGGTGGATGCTGGTATGGTGAACGCTGCAAGTAAGCCATTTCTTTTTCTCTTCCCCCCCCCTCCTTTTGTATACAACTAATTGAGGATGACATGTACACATTTCCTTTGCTCATTCAGTATTTTCCACTGCTAGGTATTTCCATGTCCTTCAGCCTGAAGTTGATACAGCTGCTGCAGGCAGAAGAGGTTCAGTGCCGGCCGTCTCCTCCTCCAGTGTTGCCTTTGCTCCACCTGACAGAAGAGGGTCAGAACCAGCTTTTCTGCAAAGTGAAGAAGATGGGCAGCATTCCAGGCAGGAATGCAGCAGATCAGAGCCGATGGTTAACGCCTCAAATTCTCAGAACACTGGACACCCGACAGCAAATATTGCTGAAGAACCATCACAAGGTACGTGTGGTTTTCACAGGTTAAACTGACTTAAGTTAGCATGTCTCCAGATTTGATACTTTTTTTTTTTTCTCTCTGCAGATACTTCCTCAGAACTTGCTCACAGCTCCAGAAGTGCTCAAGTAGGTGCATGCCATGCAACAAATGAGGAGGTTTGTATCCAAAAAGCATAGTAATATAATTAAACTAGGTTGAAGCCAGGAGCATTTTACCAATTGTAGCATGTTTGTGTTCAGGAGTCCTCTTCATCTGAAGATGGGGCTGCTGCTGCTGCAGCCTCTAGTACCCAAGCAGAGGAAACTGAGGCAGTCCTCCAGAGTATAAACGTGACCTGTGGTATCTGCATGGACAAGGTGTATGAAAAGACGCATCGAAGAAACCAAGTTTTTGGAATCTTGCCAAACTGCAATCACTCCTTCTGTTTAGAATGCATAATGACCTGGAGGAAAACTAAAGACCTCGGGCCGGACGTGGTAAAGTAAGTTTCAGTCATAATTGAAAGTCAAGGCAGCAGCATCCAACAACATACTGTCAATGATTTGACCTGAGATCCTTGTGTAATGTTTATTCCCCAGGAGCTGCCCTCAGTGCCGAGTGAGGTCTCCCTTTTATGTGCCTAGCAAATACTGGGTTGAAGGACAAGCAAAGGAAAATGTAATTGCTGCATTCAAAGAGAAATTCAGGTACGTGTGAATTTAGTTTTGATAGCAGTGCTGCAGCACAGGCTTTCAGTCCAATGCTGACCTTTTTAAAGCTCTTGAGTGTCCACACCACTGCAATTTGAAATGTTTTTTGTTTAGCATATTTTGAAACTAGTCAGCTTATCAAAAATAAAAGTGACCCAAATTTTTAAAGATGATTATAATTATCTGGCTGCACTATGTTGTGTTTATGCAATGTGCCACGGGTTTGCAAATGGAGAACTTCACCAGCAATTTGTAAATCCTTTGTAATGTACAACTTGCATTACTTTGCTACACTGACTTTGACATGAACTATTGTATAATCATAATTGGTGACCTTAAACAACTTATTTAGACTCTTAATCAAGCTGAAAACACCTGATCTACAGGTTGCCCATTATAATAAAAACTGCCTTTGACTGCAGATTAAAGTTGCTCTGTCATCAGATTCAGAAATACTTTATTGATCCTCAAGAGGAAATTGCTTATGTTAGCTGTTACAAATTCAACTTTATAATTTAACTTATCACGTCTAAAAGATGCTTAGTTCTTGGACCTACAATTGCCACGTGTCACATGATTTTAAACAACATACTACAACCAAACAGAATCTAGCCTTCTAGTTAAGGAGATGATGCATTAAACATATTGCAAGGAATCCTGCTAGATTCACTCAGATGAATTCAATTTTAAGTCTATTGAAAAGATGGGACTACAGGCCCGTTATGAGGAATGGAAAAGGTGCTGCATTAGACTTGAATGCAAAATGTGGATGTGCTTAAGAAATTATATACCCCTAACTTGATTTGCAGCCTTCAATGTTTTGTATCATGTCAAGATAAGTGTAGAAATGCTGGAAATCTCATGCCAGTGCAGAATTCTTGTGACAAGAATGCATACGTGCAATTGAAGCTTCTCTCATTTTTTTGATTTTTAGTAAGAAAACCTGCAGTTACTATACACGATACAGATGCTGTCCCTTCAAAACAGAGTGCCTCTACCGCCATAATAAACCTGCACATCCCAGGTCATATCAGGTAAATGCAGTAGTCTTGGAGTGTACTATAAGTTTTCAGCACTGTTTGGATGCATTAGTTGGTAGATTTGTCATTTACGTTCCACCTGCATTCTTTTTCTGCTCACAGTATCCCACAGAGGACGACAACGACTATGAAGATGAAGGTGATTTCTTAGATCTGCGTAATTTTTTCATAGCCGTGACACTTCTTGGGGATGACGATGATGTCTTTGACTTCCTTTTTACCTAACTGAGGAGAATTGTTTCTGAGCTTTTTCATTCTTTGTCATTGCTTTAAAAAAAAAACCAAAAAAAAAACACTGAATGGGACCTTAAAAATAATTGTTGGCCCCAGGAGAACACATGGCTGTGTTTTGATCCTTCTGTCTTCTTGGAATTGGCTTTGAAACCATCTTTGAGTAGCCTTTAATCAAGATCTGGGGATATGAGTCATGCAACATGGAGTGTCAGGTGTGCTCAGGTTTGTCATCAGACTACAGCAGGTGATTTCACTAATGAGCGCTCCTATAACCAGAGATGAACTATCTGTGAATGTATTTGCTGTAGTCTGGTTGGAATTTAGCTTGTGTATGTCTAGGTCACCATGACGTGTGGTTTATTGACTCTGCTCTTGATGTAAACAGTCCAGATTGGACATATGTTTAATTAGTATTCCTGATCTTGTTGATGACTCGTTCCATCCCGGTTAAGGTTTCTATTTTTTATTCATCACCACAGCCATAGTGCTTTGAAACATGTTGCAGAATGTTAGCCTCCCTATCGATTTAATGAGTGCTCTATTTAGACTTTTGTCCCAGGAATTTGCACCATTTTGATATTTTAAAAGTGTTGTGTGGATGTTAGTTTTAATTGCCTAAAGGTAATAAGTGTACTGTACCCCTTCTTGCTAATGTCCACTATTGATGATAACTGCCTCATATGATAGACATGTCTCCCTTTTCCTAGTTTTGGCAAGAACACAAAATGTGAAGATTTTATTTCTTTTAAACAAGCTGTACTTGTACACAAAAAATAAAACATTGTTTCACACTTTGCCTATTGAAAAAATGTGTGGAGCTCTTCATTGACACTGAAGTAGCTAGAGACATGTCGACCTGCCACTAGGTGGAGGTGTGGAGCACACGTGTTGCTAAATTACAAGCGAATAAGAAATGTAAACAGAACTGGCGGGGAAGCAGGTTGTCTGTTCACAGTACATGTGGGTGAAAAGCCCCGACTGGGAGTTCAAACTTGTCGTGAAGCTTCACCTGGGAGTCTGGAGGTCGCCATGTTTCTGTGTCGCTTTGACGGCCAGTCGAGGCTACTGGTTCGTTCGCTGCTGTCGGGAGGCTCCGGGGCTCACACAGCGCTGGCTGTCTTCCGCAAGCAGCAGCGGGCGAACCCCGACACCTCGCTGGGAAACCTCCTAGAAACACTGTGCCGACACGAAGTCAGCCGTCCAGAGGCGGACACCGAGCCGCTGACTGTGTAAGTAAAGTAGACATATGTCTGCCGTTCATTCAGCTGTCACCGTTTACTTCAGGGTTTACCATAGCAACGCCGCCATGACTTGTGTTGCCATAGAAACGACTGTAGCTCCATCCTAAACGTGCAGGTTTGTTAACCGCATGGATTTGAACTGTGCACAAGTTCTAATCGCTACTTTTATAATTTAGCTTGTCACAGTGCGATAATGGTGAAAGAAGTTGTAACATAGTTTACTTATGATATAGAAGTAGCCCATAAAATTAAGCATGCATGGGCAATAAAATGTATTTGTAGTACAGTAAAAGTTTGGTTTAAGTCCTTCAGACTGATTAATATAGAGGAAGTATAAAAACAGTCAAACAAAACCACAAACCTGTACTTTGTATTCTTTCGGTTAGTGAAGGATTTGGGGGATTACTTCTTAAATTCTCTTTACGTCGTCAGATTAATGATGCTAATGCTTTAGTGTGTCAGAAGCATGTTTCTGTTGCTGCTCCTGCTGGAGCTGCTTCCTACGGCTTTACACGCACTTTTATATACGAGGACACCAGAAAAATTAGATTAATCGAGGAAAAGAAAAGTAAACAGAGGTCTAATACATTTTTTCAGTTGTGGAGTCTTGGCTCATTTCATGCTTTTTATAAGAAGCCAAAAAAGTTAGATTTTATTCATTCATTTGTACAGTGCATGTTAATTTACACATTTGTGTTATTCATAGTGTGAAATCTTCATCTTGCTGATAAATTATTGTAACTTTCCCTTTGAAATGTATTGGAGTATAAAGTATAAAATACAGTAAGATGGAAATAGTCAAGTAGAAGCACCTCAAAGTTTTAGTGAAGTGCAGGACTTGAGCAAATGTGCTTTTCTGATTTCCACTGCTGCAACACAGCAATGTCTATAGGAACAAATAATGACTCTCAGTGAGTGGTAGTAACTGCTAGAATTAGCTATATTTACTACTGTACTCAAGTACATTTTCATGGAATTTGTATTTGAAATTTGATACTTTAATTTTTTGTTCTACATATACTCATTACTCCACTATCTGACAGGCGTAGCCACTAATTGTTACTCACCTTAATGTTTTACTTTAAAAAAACAAACAAAAGAACCCACAAGATTATAAAATGTAATACACCGTTAAAGTATAAGAAGATTCATTTTTAGGGCTTTATACCAGTCCAATAAAAGAGATGTTTCACATGATTTTCCTTAAAATGTGTATCATATTTTGTGATTCTTTGGACCCGACTACATGGACTTACGTGACGTAGTTAACATCAGTAAATTAATTCATCAATGTTACCAATCTGCTAATGTAATAATATGGCACATTCTGGTCATAGTGGGGTATTTCTTAGCAGAACAAGTACTTTAAGTTTTGATAATATGAAACATTTCTTTATTTAAATTATATTTCAGATGCTGAATGTTATTTATTACACCTATGTTATAGAAGACAAAATATCCTGAATTATTTCAAGATGTAGGTTCAGTATTCTGTTTTTCTCAGTCATATTTCATTCTTTAGGCTTGTTTTACTCTGTCTATAAATGCAGTGTTAGATTTAAAAACCATGTTTAAAGTGTGTAGTTTAGTTATTTCCTTGTATTTAGGAAGGAAGCGAATGACAAGAGCTTGCAACCTGGTGTTTTGATTTTTATTACAGGCTCTTTCTTTCCACATGAGCCACAGCTTGGGCCTTAAATTGCTTCTTTCTTTCTTCTTCTTCCAGTAAACCACTAGTGTGCCTGTTTCCAGCGCTGTTCAAACAAAACCTGCTTTCCTTCATGTGTCTGGTGCACTCAGCTCTTCCTGTGAACGCTGCCCACCGTTTGCTCAAATGTCTCAGCCAGGACTCTCATCCAAACCCCTGGATCACAGCTCTGGTCAGACAGCTGGAGAGGAACCTGGGGACCCATCGTAAACAGCCTCTGTACAGCTCACAGTGCAGCCAGAGACTGACGGAGCTGTCACAGCGTTTGGCTGGTTCTGGTGAGACTAGAGGGTGGGCCGAGTGCTTCAGTAGTGACACAGTACGTTTTGAATCTCAGAATGTAGTTGACTTACCTGAGCTGGGAACACAACGAAAAAGAAAGAGTAGTTTAATCAATCTGGAGTCGGATGGTGAGGAAATGGAACAGCAGAGTAAACGGATGAAGATCTGTGAGAACGAGCAGGTGGATGCTGAAGAACAGAGCGTAAAAATGGAGACACCAGGTGGATCAGAAAGCGATGCTCCAGCAGAAGCTTCTGCACCAGCTAGTTGCTGTGATGACCTGCCTGAACACATAAAGGTAAACTGTAAGGACGTTGGGCACGTTTTTAGAATTTCACTTTCTTTCCATAAAAGAACAGCATTTTCAAATCAAATTCAAATCATGGGCTGCAAGGTGGCTCAGTGGTTAGCACTGTTGCCTCGCAGCAAGAAGGTCGCCAGTTCGTGTCCCGGTGAGGACACCCGGGATCTTTCTGCGTGGAGTTTGCATGTTCTCCCTGTGCAGCGTGGGTTCTCTCTGGGTTCTCCGGCTTCCTCCCACACAGTCCAAAAACGTGTTGAGGTTAATTGGTGATTCTAAATTGTCCGTAGGTGTGAACGTGAGCGTGCTTGGTTGTCTATATCTCAGTGTAGCCCTGTGATAGACTGGTGACCTGTCCAGGGTGTCCCTTGCCTTCACCCTAAGTCAGCTGGGATAGACTCCAGCGCCCCCGCGACCCTAGTGAGGATTAAGTGGTGTATAGATAATGGATGGATGGAAATTCAAATCATGACCCCAAAAATGATAGATTATATTGGTTTATAGAAGTTAAGGTACACTAACAAACCCGGTCTGCTGATTTTGTGTTTATTTAGGTCTCTGTTCTTCAAATAAAAGATCTCCTGGAGAGTCAGACAGAGGTAAGAAGGATGTTTTCTTTTTTCTAGCTTGCACAGTACAGACTAAAAATGTCATTTGCTTCCATTGTACTTATTTGTATTGTCTGTTTCAGTGGGACCAGAGCTCCACAGATGTGTTCAAAGTGCTGAACGACTGTGACCCCAGCCAGGTTTGTGCTCAAAATGTTATAGCTGTGTTACATCTTTTGAGAGTGATTGATTTGAATTGCACATATTTAAAGGTGCTTATGTATCCCATTGATGCATATGTGAAAACAAAGTATTCGATATATATTTCAATGTGCTGCAACAGTTTTGCAAAACTAGTAGGCATTCAGACCTATTGTGTGACATTGTACAGGTGAGTATACAGCAGCTTCAATAAAAGTCCTAATTAAAAACAATTTCTTAACAACCTGTCCTGTTTAGGTGGAGGTGTTATGCAACATGCTGAGTTTGTCCAGCCTACCAGAACAGACTCTGCCTAAACTGTGCAGCAGCATTTTGTCTCTCTCTCCTGACCTCAGCTACAGCACAGCAGCAACACTCATCAAGAGCCTCTTACTGGAGAAGGTACATTTAAAAAAAAAAAAAACATGCAAAGGATGCAAAATGTGTCACTGTGTGTCAAACTGATAGAGTATTATCTAACTGTACTTTACAGGTCTTGTCCCTGTCAGAACCGGCCTCCAGGTGTCTGGTCACCGCAGTGACATCGCTGTGTAGCCAGTATCCCAGACCAATGTGCCACGCTCTGATTGGACCAGTGCTGGAGGAGACCAACATAGGTGAGGAAAAGGTCCAAGTACGATTGGGATTTTTCGATTATTTCTCTGAGCCCCAAAACCTGCCGGCAGGTTTGAAAGGAATGTTATCTTTTACAAATTGTGCTTATTAGCCATAAAGTGCAACAACAGAAAGAATTGTCTGATTTTGAACTTTCTGAAATGTGAAATAATGATCTTCACTTCCGCTGGACAATTAGCAAATCTAAGCTTAGAATCGTGGTATTTCAATAAAACCAGTTTATACAATATACCTCACTGAAAGAATTGCCAAAAGTAAACCATTTGCACTGAACAGAGTCTGTAAAAAATAAAACTTCAATGACTGACCAACAGTCACATGACAAACATTAAGGAACTTTTCAGGTGAACTGGGCTGAACTGCAGGCTGTGTTTACAATTTTTGTGAGGCTTACAGAAATTCAGCAATTCACCTTTTGTTTTTTTCTTTTTAATGATTTATGGAATAACTTTGTTATAGAGCACAGAAGACATTTCTGACTTCCCTCTATATTTAGTCAGGGTTGCACTCTTTTTATATAGGTGCAGGGCTTTATATTGCAGTGAAAAATGAGTCTACAGTGAGTAGGAATGTGTGTTTTTAATTGGGGATTTGTTGCTCCTCCCCCTCGTTATGTGGGTCGTTAGTGCTCCCCTTGCCACAATGGGGTTCGTTAGGGTCTTTTGTAGCTAGGCGTGAATGTGGGTTCATCTTCCTGGGGAGAGATCTTAGGCATCACCTCTCACCTGTTTACAATTCAGTCTTAAGAACTCTCCCCAGGAAGATGAAACTGCATTGACACCTCGCCAAAAAACGAACCCCATTGTGGCAGGGGGAGCACTAACGACCCACATAACGAGAGGGAGGAGCAACAAACCCCCACTTGAAACTGAATCTCAGGTGTTAATGGCTCCTTAAGGATATAAGTATCTGGAACTCCCAACTAGTCAGTCAGAACCGATGAAGCCTCTTGGATGAGAGGTGAAAAATCTTCAAGGAGCTCAAGCAAGTCCGGTTGCTACGATTAATCTACGAGAAGAAAGGATGATGATGACGACGACGATGGCACTAATTCAGGCATAACAGCAGCTGAACAAGATGCTTTATACATATATACAGAATAAGCCTAACCCTAAAAATGTAAAATAACACAGTAAATAATGTGATAGAAAACAAAAGGTTTGTGCAGTATTTGTGCAACAAAAAGGCCCAGAAAATGCAGAAAATAGTAAACTGGATTGTTTTTAACATGCCCGGTCTGTCTCACTGGAATCAGAGTCCGTATGTTACAGAACAGCCGCCCTGGAGCTGGCGCCAGTCCTGGTTCAAGTACACATTAACAAGACAGATGCTTTGATGTTATGGAGGTCTAGGCCAACAACTTTTTACACAGTCCTTGGCTCTAACATCAGTTAATCTTCTATTTTGAACTTTGTTTTGCTCTCAGGGCCTCCACAGGCAGAGCTGCTCAACAGGCTGATAGAAGGCTGTCTGGATTCCCACTACAGACTGCTGGTGCTTCAGTAAGATGAAACATTTGAACTCTGCTATATTATAACTGCTGTGACATAAAAGCTCAAAAATAATAATGACTCCTTTGTTTTTAAGTAAACCACTGATGCATATTTTTTGAATTTTAGAATGACGTTCAAAATCCCATGGAGTGAGGCAGTGCTCTCCATCATCCACAGCTTGCTAGACTCCAAGGTAATCCATCTGTGTAGTCATGGGAAAAACGCTAAAAGATCACTTAGTCATAATATCCACCATCAGTGAGTTCACAGCTTTTTTTTTTGTTTTATTTTTTTTCCCAGCCCGTCTTGAATGAAGAACTTTTCACACAGTTCACTGAACAGCTCGTCAGCCAGGGGCCTCAATTCACAAAGTCTGTGAAGTTTGCCAAAATGATGCTCACAGTACTCACCAAATACAGCTCTAATGTAAGTTTGTACATTTATGTCATGCATAACGGCTGAACAGTGGATGAATAGTATTTGTAATCCTTCTATATTTGACTCTGTTCTTCCAGGTGACAGCTACGCACAAACACTCTCTGTCTGGTAGCCTGATGTTAAATGGGACCTTTCTCAAGAAGCCTCTGCAAGCTGCCTTGAAAAGAATCACACACACATGAATGTTTCTTCTGACCTGATGCACTTTAATAAACCTGTTTACGTGAGTTATGTAATCTTGCCTTGACCTGATTATTCTCACGTCTTACAGAAACTACCCTGAAATGCTAACCTGAGCTTTGTTTACCTAAAGGTTATTCTGCTGTCATATTCATCCCGCAGAGCTCTGGACAAGTGTCAGTTCAATTAACGACATGTTTGAGTCACATTTTCCCAGCATTCCATAACTAACCATACATGAGAGAGCCAAAAACTACACCCCAGTGTGCAACTCAAGAATATTTTTACAGACCTGTATGATAGATAATTCTGGATTTTTGATGTGGACATGTGGACATGGCTGGTTTCCCTTCTGTCTGATTAGATCAGTGGAGGAATCTAAAAACTGTACTTGACAGGAATGTCTTTCATGTCCTGTTCTTTTGTTTCCACAGTTTAGTAACCACATAATTCTCAGCATGCTCTCCACACATATAAGGCAGATGAATGTAACTAAATACACTGACTGAATACTGTGTTTAAATACAGTTGTAAGGTACATTATCTAAATATTTTAATTCAGTATTTCTTAAACGTCCACTTCACTACACTACATCTTTGTTACACCATAGTTACAGTTTGTAAGAATTATGTGACTGGCCATCCTGAAGATTCTGATTTTACCTACAAAACTAATGTAGTCCTTAGTAATATATAATACAGAATTATCACCACAGACATCTTGACCAGAAGCAGCACAGACATTCTGCTTGTATCTGTGAACCATAAAATTCAAGTTTGTTGTTTGTTTCTTTGAACATTTACTGTTCTGCACAGGATTTAAGGGTTTCTGCTATTGAGCATGTACATATCTATACTTCTTATCATATTCTGATACAACAATAATCAGATTTG